GTTTCGCGGTATCGAATATTGCTCAGTCTCAGCAGAAAGCACAACGAGAGACACCGAATTGGAGAATTCTGAGAGCGGAAGGGAGAGAAGTAGGTAGTGGTAATAAGTCGATGTCCTTTTTATTTCATAGCACTCGCAGCTCAGCTGCGGTGCTGTTTCGATGGAGGAGTGTGGAGCTCCGCTGCTTCTGTATACACACTTAGATTTTTTACAGGAGTTAGTATTTTTACTGGATTTTTAAATTAGTGACTCGGTTAATATTCAAATGACTGTTATTCGTAAAGAATGGATAAAATAGATTTTTTTAATTTTTCATCATTACAAGGGGTTAACAGATGTTAGTCTGTAAAATTTGGTAACACATTTCTCAATAAAACAGCAAAAAAGGTTATCTTCCATTTAATTCCACTTAATTAATTTTGGTATCCATGACAGATACGTATTTTGACTACAATGTGCAGTCTTCATCAGTGTCATTCCCACTAAAGAACTTATCAAAATCAAACCCCTTAAGTACTCATCCCTAGGTAAAAAAAAGTCAAGATCATAGGTATAAAAATGAAACTCCACTTCAACACATTGTAGTTTCATTTTTATGCCTATGATCTTGACTTTTTTTTTTACCTAGGGGATGAGTACTTAAAGGGGTTAGATTTTGATAAGTTCTTTAGTGGGAATGACACTAATGAAGACTGCACATTGTAGTCGAAATACGTATCTGTCATGGATACCAAAATTAATTAAGTGGAATTAAATGGAAGATAACACTATTTATTCATTTCTGTTTGATATGTTTACAAAGTTTGCAAACAGAAATGAGCATTGCAGTGTAGTTACCAATATTCCAAGTCATAGACTTCAGATAACTGTTCAAAGTCCCAGATTTTTTATAACGGAATGATGAACAAAAAACCGAAGACCACTATGACAAACGTGATCGGTCAGAAGGGATCTTTACATAGGAATTGTTTTAAGGTGAAACGATTCAGAACCTCTGGGTCTGGTTCCACTTCGTTTTTTCCAGGAGTCCATTATCTGCTACCGGAAAACATACAATAACAAAACTGTGATGACAATTTAGTGCCTCAAATCACAATAGTGCCCGAGATCAACTCCCTAGAAAACTCGAAGTTCACGATCACGTTTGTCATAGTGGTCTTTGGTTTTTTGTTCATGATTCCGTTATAAAAAATCTGGGACTTTGAACAGTTATCTGAAGTCAATGAATTGGAAAATTGGTAACTACACTGCAATGCTTATTTCTGTTTGCAAACTTTGTAAACATATCAAGCAGAAATGAATAAATAGTGTATTACTGAATTATAAGTGGGGATGGGTGGCATTCATTAGCCTGAGAATACCCTCCAGATGCTAGCCTCTTCACCAACCATACATCAGTACACACTTATCGAGTAAGTAATTTTTACCGAGTTTTTGAATTGCAGAACTCTTCGGTAAAATTTAAAAAATCTGTAAAAAATTCAAAGTTGAGAAATGTGTTACCTAATTTTACAGACTAACTTCTGTTAACCCCGTGTAATGATGAAAAATAAAAATTTTCGATTCATTTGAATTTTAGCTGAGCTGCGAGTGCTATGAAATAAAAAGGACATCGACTTATTACCACCAGCGTTGCCAGGTCATTTTCAGACAAATCTGGACCAGGTAAAATATAAAATCTGGAAAAATCTGGAATGCCACAAAAATCGTCTTTTTAACATAATGCTATTGAAATCAAAGTCATGTGCCAATCTCCCGTAAAAATAGGTCAGTATGATCATCTGGAATTTATTTAAAGTACTAGAATGATTATAAATTATATGTTTAAATAAATTATATAAGGCAGATAACTTGTAAGCATTGCTAAAATCATCCAAAAGTTGAAAAGTATTGACGCAGCATTTCAAAAATTGAGTTAAATGTGGGTTAAAAACAGCAGAAAATATGGTTTGAATTGTTTTTTAAGCTGTAACTTTTTTTTTTAAAGAATGAGAAGCAAAGAATCAAGGAAATTTGATGGGATGGATTTTTTGAACTAAAAGACGATGTAGTCCTTACTATTTGATGCAGTACCAGAATTTAAAGATTTAAGTAGTTCTAAATAATTCTAATATTACTCTGAGGTTGATCAGATGAACAGTTTAATTCTTGACATAATACAACACACAACACCCAGCAGACTTGTAGGCAATTTTTTTTTATTTTGAAGCAAAATTCACCGGGCTGAAGTGGGAATCAAAGCCCAACATCGTGGAACTCACACATGGTACATGACCATTACGAATAATTTTATGCCAAAGAATAATTTTTTTTTCGCCTTTTTTTAATTTTAGTTCAATTTGAATCATTCTCGAATGCAATCATATTTATTTTCTATATTCCCCTAAAACAATCTTGAAAATATCTAAACTTTTCCAGTAACATTCTAAAAGTTCTTAGCATTACCTCTTGTAATCTCTTATAAATCACTCTCCTATTCCACAGCTCCCTCAAACTGGCAAGAATTGGCTCAATTTTGTGTCCATTTTTTTTCTATGAAATTCTTAAAATATTCTTAACAATTTCCTTGATAAACAATGACTGTCACATTCTTTTCAGACTTATCCGATAATTTCCTTCGAACTGCTTTGTAGGTAAGGTCAGAATTATTTTGAAATCCTTTTCAGTATTACCTAAATACTCAAGTACTTTGCCAAAATGGCTTTGAAAGTCTACCAGAAATTGCGCTTAAAATTTTATGAAAATTAATCTCCATAGAAAAATTGGACAGAATTCCTTTGAAATTATTCTCACAATTCGTATCAGCATACCCCTTAAGTTTCATCATATGAATTTTCTATGATATCTCTTCCGGATTGTATTTCCTTTATTGACAAAATCTCCATGCAATTTTCATCAGAGCTGACAAGACAATTGACACCGTCTTCAACCAGAGGTTGCACAGACTGAATATTTAACACTAGACAACGGACAATACACCACACCTATTAGACCAGTAGGGAATTTTTCAGGTTGCCAAAATTTTCACCGGCTGGAGCGGGAATCGAACCCTCACTTCGTGGCACTCACAATATGCCTAAATGATGGGTGACGCTGCACGACCCCGAAGCCTACAAAGATGGATGTAATTCTACTCAGAATTAGCTTGAAATTCTCCTTTGATTTCACAAAGAATTCGCCTCACACTTAACTGTGAACTATTTTCAGAATTACCTTAAAATTCCAATAATGTCCAAGGTTGTTTAAAAAATCTGGGAAAATCTGGAACATATTTAAAAAATCTGGAAATATACGTGGTCGGTCTGTCTACCTGGCAAGGTGACTAAAAATCTGGAAAATCCAGATAAATCTGGAATACTGGCAACGCTGATTACCACTACCTACTTCTCTCCCTTCCGCTCTCAGAATTCTCCAATTCGGTGTCTCTCGTTGTGCTTTCTGCTGAGACTGAGCAATATTCGATACCGCGAAACATCTCCGCAGTTATGTTTTCTTTCGGCGCAGGAGATGTGCGGTAATGAAAAGTTAAGAATGTAGCTAAACATTTACAATAACATTCTACCAAATTTTCATGTGCGTAGTCCACTGCAACAGCCGAACGTACGAACGAATAGGGTGACTATAGCGCATTTTAAGAAAACGTCACAAGTTTTTATGGCTGTTTTAAATCAACAATTACGAAGAAACCATAAAGCCTACAAGGTTACTACCAAAGACACAAATCTAGGGAACTGCATGGAGAATGTTTTGTAGAACAACTAAATAAACAGAAATGAAAATTTTCAACTTAAAAACACTAAAATGTATGAAATTTCACCAGTTTTTTCGGTACTTTCAACATACTTTTCAATTTTAATGTATGATAATTAACTTTAATCGAGTTCTTTTCTAGGCAGCATTGAAAGTTAAGACTTTAAACTTTTATTTGGTATGTTGAAATCAGAAAACCACATTAAGATTAAAAAAATATAGCTAACCAAAGTTGGCAAAACAAAAAAACATAAAATGTTGAATAACTCACCTAGCAGTCATTTCCGACCCTATGTTTCATGGGGATTTTTTCATAACTTTAGGAGCCCTATCTACCCTGAAAATATGTAAAACCCGGAACCAAACACCCTGTATAATAATTTAATAGTGTATGGGTCTTGAAAATTATACACACATAGAAATATAAATGTAAATTTTGGTGCTCTGAGACTGACATATACGAGCGTCAATTTTGACATAAAATTGAGTTATAAATAGACACAATTTTCAGCTCAATCAAACGTACTTTCGAACTTTTCAGTCTTTGAGCACTTAAATGACATGTTTGTTTACGTCTCATCCTTTATGTCAAAGATGGATTCCGTCACGTGTAAGATTAGGTATTTCTAAGTGTGTAGCTGAACCTCTTAATTTTTGGCCACGGAACCAGACGGACAGGTTTAACCAGGATAATCGGACAGAATGAAAGTATACACGACCGCGTACTTTGAAGAACGTGTTTTTATTAATGATGCGCAAATTACAGAACGTCAGTGGTAATGTTGTTTCTCTGCAGGGGTGGATTCGCGTATGCATCTAGCGTAACATCTTGAAAGGGCGCAACACTCCTCCTCGCGAATTTAACCCCGAGTCTCCTCAACAATCTCCTCTTCGATCGGCACGGTTGCCAATCCCATCTTCGTAGCGAATCTTTTGACCTTTGTTGACCCGAGTGGTTTGGTCAAGATATCCGCAACCATATACTCCGATGCACAGTACTGCAGCTCGATATCACCAGAAGAACAGCAGTTTCTGGTGTAGTGATACCGCGTGTCAATGTGTTTCGACCTTTTCTTCTGCTGATCCAATGCGACGAAATCCAGGCAACTCCTGTTATCTTCGAAAATAACTGTCGACCGCCGTTGATTCTCGTTCAGTTCAGTTAGCAAACGCCGCAACCAAACAACCTCCTGCGTAGCCTCTGGGAGGGCCACATATTCGGCCTCCATGGTAGACATGGCCACACAGCTCTACTTCCGGCTCACCCAAGTCTCGGTTCCTCCTCCTAGACTCAACATGTACCCGGTACAGGATTTACGGTCAGTGCTGTCACCAGCCCAATCCACATCGCAATATCCTGACAACAGTAGCTCACAATCACTCCTTCCAAGTGTCAATCCGTAGTCAACCGTGTGTAGCAGGTAGCGTACAATACGTTTGGCTTCGGTCCAGTCCGTCACCGATGGGCAACTAACTTTCCAGCTCAATATTCCAACTGCCGCTGCGACATCTGGACGGCTGTTGACAGACAGGTATAGCAGGTAACCGATTAACTTGCGATATTCTTCGTTGCCTTCCATCTTCGGGCTACCCTCGGTCACCTTATAGTATCTCGGATCCATTGGGTACTTCGACACTTTAGCGTTGTCCAACCCGAATCGTGCCGCAACTCTTCTGACGAAACCACTCTGGGAAATCACAAAGAAACCTTCCGCATTTTTTCGCACACGAATACCTAAGAAGCTCCTGATATCTCCCAGCCTTGTAATCTTCAGTCGATCTTGCTCGACCTGGTCGATTTCCTCCCCATGTGTGCAGCACAATAGCAAATCATCCACATATATGAGGATATACATCCACCCGTTCTCACCAATACGCTTCCGATAAAGGCACGAATCGGAACTGCACTGCTCGAAACCAAGCTGCTTCAGTATATCCGTAAGCGTCTTGTGCCAAACTCTTGCAGCTTGTTTCATGCCGTAAATGCTCCGTTTTTATCTGCACACTTTCTTCTCAGATCCAGGCACCTTGTACCCCGTAGGTTGCCTCATGAACACCACCTCATCCAGCTTTCCATACAGGTATGCAGATTTTATGTCTAGGTGTTTTACGTACATCTTCCGATGGCCCGCAACAGTCAACATCACACGAAAGGTAGAACACATCACCACAGGAGCAAATATGTCCTCGTAATTAAACCCAAAGCGCTGACTGCATCCTTGCGCTACGAGTCTGGCCTTCATTCGCTCAACCTTTCCGTCCGCGTCCATCTTTTTCTTATACACCCACTTGCTTCCGACAATGTTGGTAGCAGGCGGTGGGTCCACAAGCTCCCATGTATCGTTTGAAACCAATGAATCGTACTCAGCATCCATCGCAGCAATCCAGTCCTTCTTCTTAGCACAGCTGACAGCTTGCTCGTACGAAGTCGGCTCATCCTGGTCCACCGTTGCCATTCCAACAAAATAATCGCCAAATCGTGCTGGCAAAACTCCTCTGGTGGAACGACGAGGATTTTCCCGCTGATTTTCATCCTTCGGAACAGGAATATCTTCACCGTGGTACAGCCCGAAAAAAAACAACAAAAATACAATAAAAAACAATATAACAATAAGACGAAAATTATTGTCTTAACAATGATTTATATTGTTACGTCTACAATAAATTTACCTTGATTTATGTTGTACAAAACAGTAAATATGTATGTATGTGACGGGTGAGTCCTTTTTTTACTGGTTATGGATTGAGATTCGATCCGGAACTTGTGAGAAATGGAAGCCAGCTCCCATGCACTCGATCTCTCTAGGTCACGTCTCCATGGCGGTTGAGCGTCGTTGATAAGTTAATGCATTCAACTGGAGAGAATCGCCCATGAAATATGCTTCCACCTAAGAGCTATTTCCTGACATCTTCAAGTGGTGGATTTTTTTATTATTATTGTATGATTATTGACTGCACGGAAAAGGTCTGCATTAAGCGGGATTTAGATGAGGCAGGAGAGTTGAGTTCAACTCAAACCGATCTGGTCGTAGGCGTTCAATTGACTTGACAACGAATAGAGCCAAACGAACTGTCAAAGCAAGAGCCATACGAGCAGCGCCTATCTTGATTACATTGGCAGTGTTGCTGACCCTCTCATAGTCTGCATGCTTCAATCAGATTTATTTTTATTGTTCATGAAGTAACCCACAATGAAAACACACCAATATTTAATGTAACAACAATTTTTGTTGTAATAAAGTTGTTCATTATTGTTCGTGATCGAATCATGTTAACAATAAAATAAATGAAAAATACAATAAAAATCATTGTGACAACATTTTATTATGTACATTCATTGTACAGCTAGGTAGCAGTTTTGCCGTTTTCGGAAGGGTACAACATTATAACAATCATTTTTATTGTCGACAATAAATATTAATGTTAGAGCATTGTTTCCACTGAAAATTTCACTGTAATTTTTTTTCCGGGAGATCTTCAGCCGATTCATATCCATCAAAGTCTTCTTCAACTTCAGGTTCTTCTTCGGATTCAGACACAGGTGCCACTTCACGCGTGATTTCCGGAACCGGTAGTGGCTCCAACTCGACTGTCGATTCAGTAACTTCCAGCTTCCGATCGGCACCGTTTTCACTATACATGCGCCAATCTTCCAGGAACTTCACATCCCGGCTGATGGTGATTCGTCCCGAACCCGTATCCAGCAGCCTATAGGCCTTATGCTCGTTGGAGTAGCCTACAAACATCAGTTTTCGCGCTTTAGGCTCCATTTTCCTACGCGTCTCAGCCGAAGATCCGGAAGTGCTCATACGACGGAAGTCTTCCGTACCATTTCTCATAGGAGCTCATTCCGATGGACCTAGAAGGTACCCGATTCTGAATGTAGGTCGCTGTTAGAATCGCCTCACCCCAGTACTTCTGGTACAGCTTTGCTTCCAACAACATACAGAGCGCCATCTCCTTCAGGTATCGGTTCCACCTTTCTACCACCCCATTTTGCTGTGGCGAGTAGGGTGCGCTGAACTGGCTCACTACACCCTCTGCCCGGAGGTAATCCTGCAAGTCCTTACTGATAAACTCACCTCCACCATCAGACTGCAAAACTCGGGGTGTCTTGCCGATCTGCGTCCTGCAGAAGCAAATGAAGTTCATGATCTTCGACGCGGCATCCGACTTCTTCCTCAAAAGGTACACGAAAGCTATTCGTGTATGGTCATCAAGCAAACAAAGGAAATACTGGTTTCCACTCGGCGTGCACTTCATCGGTCCACTAAGATCGGCGTGTACGATGTCCAACTTATCCTTCGAACCTCTATCGACACTCTTCGGGAACGGTGCTTTTGCCATTTTGCCTTCGAGACAACATTGACACACAGTGCGTATGCCACAATCCACCAGCTTCATGCCAGTTGCTTGCTTATTTGCATGAATCGAACGAACCACATCGGGATCTCGGTGGCCTAGGCGTCTGTGCCACGTATGCAGACAATGTGACGTGTGCGCCGTCTGGACACTAATCATCGTTTGCTCCGAAATACACAAACGATACAAACTTCCATGCCGTTCACCTTTCCGCACACATCTGTCCATTACGCATTCGTATCTCGCACCGATTCTCACTAAACATCACGTCAAAGCACTTCTTCGCAAGGGTACTCACCGACTCAACTCGATGGTTATCGGTTCCCCTGTATCGGTCACACCGACAATGATTCCACGGCCAGTTCCAGCTACCTTAGCTCTCTCGCCGTCAGCCAACATCACAGTTGTTCCGCCGGTCTTCTCCAGCTCTTTGAAAAACTTTTCGTTTCCCGTCATATGCTGAGAAGCACCACTGTCGATGAACCAGCTTGTTGGCTCAGCTTGCCCAACCATCCACGCCAGCGGTCCCTCGGAAACTGCTTGTGCTTGCTTGGCTTTCGGTTCTTCCGGTTTCTTCTTCGTCAGTTTCTTCCCTGATTCGGCAGCTGCAACATTTGGGCAATCTTTCTTCAGGTGCCCCGGTTATTTACACTGGAAGCAAGATCGCGTTTCTGTTTGCCAGCACCACGCACTCGTCGGCGACGATGTTCCACCCACAACGCTTGTCCACTGCTCATTGGATTTTCACAAGTTGAAGTGTCAATTCTTCTCGTGGCCGTTGTTCCAATGCCGTCGTAAGGAAATCATACGAGTCCGGCAGCGAGCACAACAACATAGCCATCTGCAGCTTCTCCGGAATTGCATCGCCAACGTCCGCGATCCGTTGCAGCAAATCGGAAAACGTCTTCAAATGTTGCTCCATATCGCCGCTCTCCTTGAGTTCCAAGTGCGTCAGCTTTTTCAAGAGATACACCTCCGATCCCTTGTCGTGGTACGTTTTCAAGGCATCCCATGCCTCCTTCGCAGTCGCACAACTGCGCACTAGGCTCGTCTGATCGTCTTCAATGCAGAGCCCGATTGTCGCCCGAGCTTTTGCATCCGCTTTCGTCCACGCTTCAGTCACTGGGTTCTCCCGTGGACTTGAAATGACCTGTCATGTATCCTCCTGGATAAGCAGCATCTCCATCTTAAACTTCCACGATTGGTAGTTGTGGTTGTTTAATTTCTGCATCGCAAACCTCTGCGAATCCGCCACTTTGCCACCAGCCGATGCTCGAAGCCACAAACACTCGACCGCAAAACGAACCGTTCCTCAACTTTTCTCGCGTACGAACCGAATTCCGCAATCACGAATTAGACTGAGTCCATAACCTTTTGGCGGACAATCAACCGACGGAAACAGACGGACAGGTTTAACCAGGATAATCGGACAGAATGAAAGTTTACACGACCGCGTACTTTGAAGAACGTGTTTTTATTAATGATGCGCAAATTACAGAACGTCAGTGGTAATGTTGTTTCTCTGCAGGGGTGGATTCGAGTATGCGTCTAGCGTAACATCTTGAAAGGGCGCCACATTAATGAAGCCCAACATACTAACATAGAGGTAACTCTAAGACCAGAAGGTCCCGAAGAAACGAGCCAAATTTTTGGCTCAGCTCTGGTACTCTCTTCGGTCCCAGGCTAATCGACGCACCCCTCGTACCTACAGGTACGGTACAGGATTAAATAGGCAGCCTTTTTTATTTCTTTGATTTGTTTTCCGTCGATCTTGTTTTCCGTGCTGAGTACCAATGCTACCGACGCCAGGGAGGCAGCTCCCACACCTGGACTCTACCTATCGACCCATCAACTCATGGACCGGGAACCAACGGCTTTACTTCCCTTCCGAAGGAAGGCGGGATCAGAGATGTTATGCCTCAGAACATCACGGTGGCGCCAACTGCAATTGAACCCAGGCCTGCTGGGGTGAGAGACAATCACTCTTACCATTACACCACCGGCGCCGCTTAAATAGTTGGCCTTCTATTATATCTAAAGCGAATTCAGTTTACAACAAGAGATACGTTTTAAACTTTTATATTCTTCATGATTTATAATTTCATGACTTGCACGTGCACTTTCCGTTGGGGCCACTCAGTATCTCCGTCACACCTGGACATCATCTTGTCGCCTTCGTGCAGATTCCCCGAACCGTCAAATTCTTCTCTGTCCTAGGGGCACGCAATAACCTTTAACTCCAACGCAGGCAACGGCTGTAATTAAATTAATTCCATTAACTACTGCTTTAACTACATTAATTACACAATGTAGAACATTAACTATTTTTTAAATCCATTAATTATAGTTGAAATTTCGTAATTGAAGTACATTAATTACATTTTCAATGCTTTTAATTACATTAATTACTGATAGATAATTTTAATTACCGTCAGTACTACCTCAAAACGCTTCAATTACTTCAAGTATTTTGATTGCATTTTAACTACAACGCACCGGTTCTTTGTATTGCGTGCCCCTCGTCTCTGTTCCAACTAACGATTACCGGATCGCAACCCATGGCGTAGCAGTTCAGTGCCACACGGTTAGACTTTCGAATCCAGGGCACACTACTCTACTTCGTGCATTGTTCGCGGAAGGGGTATGGGTAACATTTCAACAGCCGCTTCCAAATTCAATCGTCCTTCACGTTATCCCAGCAACAAGGAAAAACTTCGTGTTCTGCGCACATAAATCTCCACCAAAAACACCGGGAGCACTAGAGAGACGTTACGTGCACTTACGGTATGTTTGCATGCACTCTACCGTTCTTCGATCCCGTGCGATTAACGGGCCCCGCTCGATGGCACTCGCTGGGTTACCCGGATTGTTCGCCTTACTACACTATAAGTTTTCTGTTGTTCGCTCACCCAAAAGCGATGGGGAGGAACATTCTGAGGATCGCAACACTTGATCCGTACGTGTAATTCACTGTCACATTTGCCCAATACCATAGGGGGGGGGGGGGGGGAGACTGAAAATTTGATCACAATGCGACAACGTTCGCTACGATCACACGCGTGAGGATAATCAAAGATTCCGGGATTTCAACACTTTCTTTCCCGCACTCCTTCAATTTTATCGGCAAAACTCGTGGAGTATTAGAAAAATACCGCCTATATTGCTTGCGGTTAACCACGGGACTCTTCATGGGGTTTGGTGAAACCTGCAGAAAGAAAATTATCATTCTCTCGCTCTCTTATCCAGGATCACCAACACCGATTATGAGCAACCTATGGATATGTGTACAGTGAAATAACGAGCTTTTGCTGCTACCACAAGCATGGCTCTAGTCAAGTGTGTAAGTCTCCCTTTCCGAGACCACTCTTTGCCACTTTTCGTATTTTTTGTTGTTGTTGTATTAAACTATTAAACCACTGTTCATATTCCGTTGGTGTTATTTCCCTAATCGCATCAAATACACCGACCATCAGTATTTTTCTTTGATCTTACTGTTTAAATACCACTATAAAATTTGTCGTATACAAAATCAATCTTAATTGAATTTATAAAGTTCTTGAAGAGATTTTGTTCCTTCCAGATTGGCGTGGACATTGACGGTGCCATTGAGCCGGACAGTCTCTTTACGCAGTGATTGACAGTTTCATATGAGGTTTTCGGAGGTTTGTAATAAAGAAAGTTTAAAACACTTTCTTTGATGGCATCTCATAAATTAATACAACTGAACAGGTACAGGTTGTCTTATAAGGGAACTACGTCTTTGTCGACTATACTGGGTTGCAAATCAAAAAATATGTGTGGTGAAGTAGGTTTTGAACGCTTGTAACTTGGTCATTTATAAATGAAATTAAATCCAAATACGCTAGCCGATAGGATATTACTTAACGAATCTGCTAAAATAAATACATTTCCAATTTTTAATCAAAAAACTTTTGAAAAATGCACAAATGCTAATTTTATCACTGTTTTCATGAACTAAACGTTTTCCTCAAACCCAGTCATCATAAACGAATACCAATTCGTTGCACATCATTCTGCTTGAACCAGAAAAGATATAAAACAGCGCTGCGGTCATGCCTCTGCTCATTACCGCTTCGGACGGCGTGGCAAGTCAGCGGATAAAAAGGTGGATCACGGCGTGACCACCAAATTGGAAATTATGTATAATATCTCCCCCCCCCCCTCTTAACAACAAAAACCCGGAAAAGACATGGTCTTTAACGATCACTTTTTTCCGGGAAATAAATTTTAAGCAAAACCACAATTATCAATATGTATAAACAAAAGTTTTCCGTTTATTCCCGTACCAAAACTTTCAAATTTCAGAAAAATATTCATGGAATTACACACTGTAAAACATATCTGGTACCTCTATATATGCAATTAGATTATCATCCAAACTCCATCC